GGGGGGGGGTGCGGTGACAGGTGCAGTCGTCTGTGGGTGTGAGCCTCACAGTGACCTCAGTGGGTCCTTCTCGTGCAGATCATTGACCCCAAGATGCCGCGTGTGCCTGGCCACCACAACGGCGTCACCATCCCGGCCCCACCCCTAGACGTGCTGAAGATTGGGGAGCACATGCAGACCAAGTCCGACGAGAAGCTGTTCCTCGTTCTCTTTTTTGATAATAAGAGAAGTTGGTGAGTCAAGAGGCCTTAGACTCCGGGGACCGGCTGGGGTGGTTGTGTGGGGGCCGTGGGCTTGGTGACCTGAGTGTCCCTGTGGTGAGCAGCCTCTTCATCTGCTGGGCCCTGGCACAGCTAAAGTCGGAGGTAGGTGCTCTGCTGTTTGCCTGGTGGAGAAGGGCACTGCCCAGCACCCCCGCTGGGACTGTGGGATGGGCACTGAGCACAGGGTCTGTCTCTGTCTGATGGCTTCGTTTCCCTCTCACCTGAGCCCATTGGCCCGGGCTCTCTCTTCTCGATTCCTTACCCGTGTCGGCTGTAGTGTTGGGGGTCCCACTGCTGGGCTCCTGGACCCCTGTGCTGCAGGACACGGCCCCTGCCCGGGCCTGGCCTCTGGCCCTGTGCTTAGAGCCTTCCGTCCTGGCGTCACCCAGCTCTGCTCTGACGTCTACCCCATCACAGGAGGCTCCCCCGTGCCCTGGGCTGCTTTTTCGCACAGTGCCTGGGACTCTAATGTGCCAGGGTTCAGACCCCAAGACGCCTCTGTGTAGGACACGCGCACAGTGCCTGGGACTCTAATGTGCCAGGGTTCAGACCCCAAGACGCCTCTGTGTAGGACACGCTGGCAGCACATGCCTCTGGGAAGAGATGTAGCCCCAGCTGTGCCCTGCGCACGTGGCCCAGGCGGGTGCTTCCTGGTTCCCCGTGGAGCTGGCTGCTCTGGGGACCTGGCGCAGAGGCTCAGGGCCACCTGCGTATGGTGTGCCTGGAGCATGGCTGGCAGCACAGGCATCCCTACCGTCTTTCTCTTCATTGCCCCGACCTCTGTCTCTTTGGCCACATGGCCGTTGCTCCTTGTCAGGCCCTGAGCGAGGCCCACACCTTGTCCATCCGAGGGCCCCTTTGATGGGGTCTCCCCAACCACCGGCCCCTGCTCCGGGGCCCACCCTGGCTCTGGGCTTCGTGTGTGCATGTCTTGTCACTCGGCAGGCACTGGGAAACGTTTTGGAGGTGGAGGAGGAGGTGATGGTTTTTCTGCCTTACTTAGCTCCCCATATTCCCAAGCCGGGGAGGGGAAGGGAGGGGTGCACCCCTGGCCTCCGGCCTGTCCCTACACAGGGCCCAGCTGTCTTGGTGGTGCTGAGCAGGGTCCCTTTCTATCAGAGGGCAGTGGATGTGTTAGATGATTACATGGAGCACGTTGAAGCACCACGTGCAAGCAATGATTTCCCCATGTTTTTCCTTTTAAAAAGGCAGTGGCTTCCTAAGTCCAAAATGGTTCCCCTTGGTATTGACGAAACTATAGACAAGTTAAAGATGATGGAAGGGAGGAACTCCAGCATCCGGAAGGCCGTGCGGATCGCTTTTGACCGCGCTATGAACCACCTGAGCCGCGTCCACGGGGAGCCGACCAGCGACCTCAGTGACATTGACTGACGGCCCGGCTGCCAGCGCGGGTCTTGTCCATAGTGTTGATAAGCTGTACATGTTTGTATATTGTTCAAAACTTAACTTATTCTGGTTTTTAGTTGTAGCTCTTTAATTCTTTTTCCCCAGGGAGGGGGAGGTTTTATTTCCACGTTTTCTAGGAACCCATCTCCGTCTGGGCGCTGTGAGTGGGGTGGGCGCGTCCGGGCAGCGCAGTGCGTCTGTCACACGACCCCGGGCCGTGCTGCTGGCGTCACTGTCTTTGACATGTAGCTTTTTCTTAAAGACTTTTGAATGTTTAATAATTTTGTAAATCATCCTCTTTACACAGAGTACCACTTATTTAATAAGACGGGATGTAAATTTACAATGACAAATGTGTATTTTAAGAAAGAAAAGGACATTATTTTGAATGGTACTTTGTGAAAAGGGGAGAATAAAGTTATGCTGTGCACATCACTTGCAGATCACCAAAAACGCCCGCTGCCCGCGCCCGCTGTCCCGCCCGCCTCCACCCCGCAGGTGTGCCTCCCAGCGGATTATTTATTGTAGAAAGTGTATTCATTTGCTTTATAATGAAAAATACATTTGCAAAGGTATATTGATATGCATTTTTATACAGGCACATAAAAATTCAACTCGGCTTGGGAGCAGAATGCATTGCGTTGTATAAATGACTCTGGCCTGTGTGTACTTTGATTTTATAACTTGTAATCTTTTGTTTACAATGAGGGGCTTTCTGTAACTTGTTTTAATTTAGAACACTTTGGTAGCAATAGAAACTTTGGATACATTTTTGTATGGTACATGTGATGTATATAGAATTAGTACTTTATTTTTATTTTTAAGAGGTAAAGCATTATGTTGGGGAAAGTAGGGTGGGTTTCCAAATTTGCATTTTTTATATTAAAAATAAAGTCAAGATTTGGACGGTGTGGCCATTTTTTTCCTACAGCCCTAGACGGCTGGGTGAGCCCCGAGGACAGGTGGGGTGCTGACTGCGAGGGGTGGGGGCGGGGACACACCTTTATCTTAATAATTGCCATGGGATGGCAGTATTTATTATTTCCCCTGATCATATTTTATTTTAAAATTTTAATTACATAAAGGTTTTAAATGCTTTTTAAGCCTACACCGTTTGTAACATCTCCATAGACACTTGGAAATATAAGCCTTCCTTAGATAGTTTCTGTCCTGCATCTGGCAGGTGCTTCCTATCTGTCGTGGCTCTCCTTCCCACAGCCAGCCCCACCCGGCAGGCCCCTCCCCACCGCCAGCAGCTGGTGGCCCCCAGGATCACCCACCGCCCACGCAGAAGGGAAGCGGGTGCAGGAGCCAGGTGGAGCCCAGGAGCACTCAGGGCTGCCGAGAGGCCCAGCTAAGGGCAGGTGCAGTTTGTGCCCCTTCTCTTTCCCACCCACAGCCTCATGGTGCTGTCGAGCGGAATCTGCTTTCTAAGTATGGGTCTGAGCGGAGGGAGATGCTGAAGCTTTGAGCTTTTTGTTTCTGGCTTAACCTTGGTGGATTTTCACCCTCTGGGCATCATGTCTTGTCCAGGGGAGGGGCTGGGGAGGGCCTGGAGCTGTAGGGACAGAGGGCTGAGGTGGGCGGGGGAGCGGTACTGCCTGGACTGACCACATAATATGTGGTCAACTGCATTATCAATTTTTTTTTTTTTTTTTTTTTTGAGACAGTCTTTCTCTGTTGCCCTGGCTGGAGTGCAGTGGCTCGATAGCTCACTGCCACCTCCGCCTCCTGGGTTCAAGTGATTCTTCTGCCTCAGCTTCCGGAGTAGTTGGGACTGTAGATGCCTGCCACCACGGCTGGCTAATTTTTGTATTTTTATTGGCAATGGGGTTTTGCTATGTTGCCCAGGCTGGTCCCAAACTCCTGCCCTCAAGTGATCCACCTGCCTCAGCCTCCCAAAGTGCTGGGATTACAGGCTCGAACCACTGCACCTGGCCAGCTGCATATTATTAATTAGACATAAAATGCAAAATAAGATGATGTAAACACAAAGGTGTGAAATAGGATTGGCACCTGCCGAGCGCGCCTGGCCTGGAGCGTCGCCCCTCTGCAAAAGCAGGGCTCAGCGTGTTGTCTGGTCCTTGCACTTACAGAGGGGTGAGCTGCTGTGCGTCTTCCAGCCACTTTCTGGGCTGCTCAGGGGCCTCTCACAGGTTTTCTGGTTGTGCCACTTACAGGGGTGCTGAGGCGGAGCTCCTCCCGTGCGGGGCGTGTCCAGGCGCCGTCTCTGAGGGCTTGGCAGGTACAGGTGGGAGTGCGCGTCTCTGGGCTGCTGTGGGGACTGGGCAGGCTCCTGGAAGACCTCCCGGTGTTTGGCTGAAAGCGCAGCCCGAGGGGAGGCTCCCAGGGAGACGGTGGTGCGGGGGAGGGAGGGAAGGGGTGTGCCGAGGAGCCGGCGGGACTCCCTGAAGGCCCAGGAGCTTCCTTAAACAAGGTACCGCATTCTAGAGGGGCTGGGGTCGCTGTTTTTTTCCTCAAAACCTGCAATGACCTCATGCTCGGAGGACTGGCCTCCGCGCCCTGCTCCAATGCTGCCCCAGGGCCCTGTCCTTGCGGAATCGGGGCCTTGGGCTGGACACTGGGGGCTTCGCGGAGCCGGGCCTGGCGGGGCCAGCGGAGCAAAGGCTGGGCAGTCCCGGGGTAGCGCTCATCAAAGCCGGGCGCTGCTCCCAGAGCCGAGGTGCAGAACCAGAGGCTGGTTCCGCGGCGCTAACGAGAGAAGAGGAAGCGCGCTGTGTAGACGGCTCTCATCCCGTCGGGGAACCCCTTCCTCAGCTCCGTGGACGGCGCTCAGGGGTTCCCAGCGGCTCAGACGCAGATCCCGGACTCGCCCGCCGCCCGGTCTTGCACTCCAGGGTTGTCTCTCCCAGGGCGCGCCCTGGCCACGGTCCTCAGTCCTCCAGGGCGGTGCACTCCGCTTCAGTGTGGGGAGGGTGGGCGTGTAGGTTCGGGAAGTTGGTGCGTCTTGGCTTTTCAGGAGGAGGAGGGAGCAAGAGGTCCCCTACCTTTCCCACCAAAACCAGAGGCTTTGACATCTCCCTGAGCCCACAGGCCTGGCGCCCACCTCATGAACAGATCCATTCTGGCCCAAGACCACCAGGACCGGAGCTGGCTGGGGCTGGGGGGTGCCCACACCGCCCGCACCCCACTGACTTCCCTGCAGCCTCCCCACCTGGCTAGAACCTCTTCCCAGGCCCCGGAGGAGCACCTCGAGGTGGGCAGCTGAGACCCGGAACACTCAGGGCACGAAGCCGCCATGTTTGGGAACTAAGTTCACAGTGTGGCCTCCTGTTCTGACACCACTCGGCCCTGCCTTGGCTGGAAAACCCTTGGCAGTGGGTTAAAAAGAATGAGAAGGAGCTTAGTACGCTGATGTGAAAAGGCCTTTAAAATAGAGCACAGCATTTCACTTTCCCTGGGTTCCCGGGCTGTGCCCTAGCGAAGCTGACCCACTGTGGGGGCGCCCACTGAGTCATGCTCACCTCCCTGGGTTGACTGGCTGGTGGGGGTCTGGAGTCGGCACGATGATTGTGGCTGGTGGGGGTCTGGAGTCCGCACGATGACTGGCTGGTGGGGTCTTGGGTGCAGGCAGGGGGCTCTGTATCCAGCGTGGGATCCCAGCTTCCCACTCAGATGTGTCCAGCTGGCCTTGTCCCCCGCACCTGCTCCTCCTGGGCGCAGCCCCCCACCCAACTGTGCAGGGTTGGCATCCAACGCCCTCACATGGAGTCCGGCTCCGCCTTCCCTAAACCCAGCACTGTTTGCTTCTGGAATTGGCTCAAAGTTAAGCTGCTCCTTCCTAGCTTGGGGCGTGAGCAGTTTGGAGAAAGTCGATCTGTTTTCCCATTTCTGAGGCTGTCGTGGGCCTTGTCAGCGGGAGGGCGGGCTGCTCAGAGAGGCTGCGATGATTCCAAAGTGTCCTGCATGGATATTTCATGAAATTATGATTCACTTACAACGTTCTGCTCACCGACTCTTAATGCAGCTCTACCTTATCTCATGACAGTGTTTCTCCTGTTGCAAATGAAACACATCTCTTGTTGGTCCCTTGCCTGAGTTTTAACATCAGCCCAGCTGTGGGGACTCCCACCCTGAAGCACCAAGACCCTCCAGGGCCCCCCTGCCTCCTCTGACTCCCCACCCCCTCCTGTTGTACAGGTGAGGACAGCCAGGTTCTGGGGCTCAGCAACCCCCACGGGATAGCCAGGTGGGGGTGGGAAGTAGAGCCCAGGGTGGGTTAACCAACCCCCGCCTTAGAGGATCAATATGTGGCAAATGCACCCACATGTGGTACCTGCTGGTTTATGGAGTTCAGTTGTTATTATCACCTAGAATTAAAAGCAAATGAAAAAAACATTGAGGAGATGGTTAGTTCCAAGACGGCAGCACAGAAGCCAGCTGGCTTCACTCTCTGCCACAGAAAATCCAAGACAAATATTCAGCACCAAGATAATCTCCAGCAACATCCCAGAACTCAGATACGAAGACAGACAGTTCCCAGGGCCACAGAGAAGTGAATAAACTCTGAGCAAGCAGTAAGAGAACTGGAATTCTATATCTATGATGTCCCTTTTCCCCAGTCTACCTGCACCAAGCATGGGCACATCTCCCCTGACTCTCAGCTTCTGCACTGGAAAAATGAGATTAAGGTGGACTACCAGCTTCCCTGCTATCTTGGGCTCCCTGGCAGGAGACTTCTTCTGTTTCAACCCAAGGGAAGCATTCAGAATGCTTAAAGGAGAAATACCCCTGAGGCCAGCCAGAGACAAAGGGAAGAGGTGGGACTAGCATCTCCAGCCCTAAAAGCTGCCCTGTAATGCAGCCAAAGGAAGCACCAAGTCAGCCTGTTGAGCTACACGGCAGGAGGCACAGTCCGTAGGTTCTCTGGGCAGCCCTCCCGCCAGTCTTCCCACACTGCCGGGGTATCCACCTGTGGGACTTCCCCGATTTGGGACGGGAAGCCTCACTCTGATCCTTTATTGGAGCTGAGCAAAACCTGGGCTTATGTTGCCCTCTAGTGCCGAAGAAGGAGGCAGCAACCTAGCAGAAAAAAAAATTCAACAGGTACATTGCAAAGAATCTCTAAACAAACATATCCAGTAAAAACCAAAACAAGCCAGACAGAGAAGACTGGAATAAATAACTAATCCTTCAATGCAAAGACATCGATGTGCATTCACAAGAAACAAGCAAATGGGGAACTACGAACCACTTAATGGGACGAAGTATCTTGTCCCTAATGAGATAGCCACATGTGAGCCTCTGATCAAGAATCCAAAATAGCAGTTTTGGGGAAACTCAGTGATCTCCAAGACGACCCAGAAAATCAATTCAGAGACTTGTCAGAGAATTTTAACAAAGATATTGAAATTTAAAAATCAAACAGAAATATTGGAACTGAGAAAAACATCTGCTGAACTGGAAAATTGATAGAGGCTCTCAACCGCAGAATGGGTCAAGCAGAGGAAAGAATCGATGAGCTCAAAGACAAGCTACTGGAAAATACACAGTCAGGGCTGGGCATGGTGGCTCATGCCTGTAATCCCAGCAGTTTGGGAGACCGAGGCGGGTGGATCACGAGGTCAGGAGTTTAAGACCAGCCTGGCCAACATAATGAAACTCTGTCTCTACTAAAAATACAAAAATTAGCTGGGCGTGGTGCCATGTGCTTGTGGTCCTAGTTATTTGGGAGGCTGAGTGGGGAGGAGCACCTGAGCCCAGGAGGTCGAGGCTGCAGGTAGCCATGATTGTACCGCTGCACTCCAGCTTGTTTGACAGAGTGAGTCCCTGTCTCTTTGTATCTATCTATCTATCTATCATCTCTCTATCTAGATAGATAGATAAAGAGATACACTTTATATATATAAAGATAGAAAGACTTCAAGTAAACAGCCTAACAGTGC